GATCACCATGCGAAACCTGAAAGCACTGGACGGCCGTTTCGTCCTATTATGGGACTCCTCAGCAGTGCGCATCCACGATCCCGCACTAGCGAGATTCGAAACCAGGACCTACCAGCTTCGCGCCGGAGCACTTAACCGATAGACTACTGAGCTGGCATCCGATGGTGTTAACGTCTAACTTCAACTGATCCACGAAGTTGAAATATCCACAACTATGAAAATAAAAGATTATGATAAACCTTTTCTAACTATGTACATATACAATCTGTCTTGGTAATGGAAAGATGAAAAAGTGTATTCAATAAACAAATCATTGTATATACAATTGGTTGATCACTAGATGATAGTGACCATGTCATATGTTTCAAATCTGTCTTAGTATAGATCAAATTCTATCAACCAAATTGCAATGTGGCTACTAGTCTAGGTGCATTGACATCGCATGCACTTTGTTGAGAAGCAAAGGTGGTGGTTGGAGGTAGTCGACAGGAAATTTTTGACCCAAATTTCGTGCTATTTGGTATTCATTATTCAAGTGTACCTGTGATCTTGAGGAAACTGATGTTGCCTGCTGGATTCGATCCCGTGTCGCCCATCTTCACAGTTACCATTGAGCTACTTAGACGGCAACAGACCCCTTGTAGGACTGAGATATTTACAGTCAGTCAGTCACAATGTAGAACTTCGTACATACGTACATCAGTTCAAGTTGCCATACCACATTAGGACAGAGATGCAGTTGTCGATTCAGATCCCATAGTGGTAGAAGTAGTAAGATTATAAGCAGTAATGTGAAAGATTAGGGTTTGAAGATGTTATTCAAGGAGTATAATTCAGTGAAATAAAATTCAAAAGTGAAAAAAGAGTCATGAAGAATTCAGATTAGAATTTGGTAGAACACAAAGAGTGGATGTACCTACACCATTGCAAACGATTTTGAGCCATGTCATTCAAGGTCTCTAACCACCGATTGCTATCATCTCGCGAATCCCAACCAGGTATTTTACACCTACCAACATGGCTCTGTCCAGTTGTCAGTAAGTTCATGAATTTGTGCCACATTTTGGTCTGGCCGCCCTTAGCTTTCTCCCAACCTACTCTTACGCCATAAAACATTGCACGTCGGGGCAGTCGGTTGTTGGGTATACGTCACACGTGTCCCAGCCATCTCAACTGATCAAGTTTCACTACTTCAACAATCGATTCGCTATCCTTACCTAGTACCCGTTCCCTAACAACTGCATTAATTATTCGGTGGTCCCATGATATACGAGCAATGCTTCGAAGACACCTATCATCGAATACTAGCAGCCTACGAATATCCTCTACTCTTATCGGCCATGTTTCACTGCCATAAAGTAGGAAGGAACGAACTACTGCGCAGATTTTTATAACTGACTGAACACTGAATAGTGACCAGTGAGATGATTATCTTGCCTCTTTAAATGACAATCGAATTCCATTGACCAAATAGTTATCGTGATCCCTAATGCTTTATTCAATACTATATATTTAGTACAACATAGAATTTTCAGCAATATAACCATTAGTCCAGGGGACACGTGAATTTCTATTTAAAATAATTTCAATACAGTTGTAATAAATCACTGAAACTATTGCTTGACGCTATTAGGAAATAAATATTCCCGTTCAAATAGACCTGGACAAGATGTACAATTTATACATGATTTTAGTGAACGTGAATACCTTGACTATGAACCTTGAATGTTAGCATGAAAAATTAATATACAAACAAAACCTTAAATTCACTTAGTATCGTTTGTTTGAATCTTCCAATTGATGTTTTTAGGACTGAAATTGGTCAGTATCTAACTGGCATATGTGCATACTGTGCATATTGACTCGATATAGCCTTAATTCACAAGCATTGTAAGCAAAACCTTATTCTGTAATAAACATTTAGTTTGTTTTACTTAATCACTAATTTGTTTTTTGCTATAATTGATTAGATCATTTAAATCAATGTAACATAGAAGGTCAATTATTCAACATTTGAAGTAGGTGAGAATTTCAAATGATTTTAAATGATACAATGAAATTTGATTAATTTGAATATGATTTCATTTACCTTATATGCTAAATCTTGCATATTTTATTTGTTTTAAACGAAAGTTTGGGAAGCAAAATGAATCACATAAAAACCATAGCACAATACAAAACAATACATGAAAGATGTTTTAGTCAAAGTGAAAATAATTCATATAATGTTTAGTTTAGAAAGTTTTCACCACTTAATTATATGACTTTCGTTTTAAATTATATTCGAGTATTTCAAGTCATTCCGTTAAATGATCTTTAAAATTTCAACCCAAGCAATTAAAACGCCCCAATATATATACATGGAAAAGAGACAACTATACTTTATATTACAGTATTATTTCGTAGGCTGACTATTTCTACTATTCTTCCTAACAGATTTAAAGGTAAATGTAACAATAAAATTTATGTAAGAGATTTTAACAAGTGTAAAATTAGCTCTTCCCACGTTTGCATACATTGTGTTTAGTATAATAGTGAGATTTATTTATTAAAACACATAAATATTGGTACAAAGGGGTACCAGATATATATTCGCCACACAAATCTCATTGGATTTGTGTGAGGGCTGTGATACTGCTCAAGTGCCCAAACCGAAGAGGCTGGTTTTCTTAGGGGGCCACACCTGGAGCCTTCAACCTAAAGATCTGATCCACAAGGCAGTGGAGCATCGTGAGGAAATACAGTCCCATGGTAGCCGGTGATCAACGATTGATTCATACACCATTTGTTCCCTCAAGATACTGGAACCCATGTGCACCATTGGTTTGGAATGAGGGTTTTCCAACTCCCCTAGGTGGACTTTCCGTGTCCACCAACCCGGTTAAATAGCCGAATATTGGCTTTTCGTCCTCTCAATTACGTAAACAACACCCCTTTTGCGAGAAGACAGTGAGTAGGACTTCCGTGGTAGAGGCTACATCTGCGTGGCCGTGTGAGAGCATTTCGAGAGAGAGAGCGTACTCTCCCCACTCTCGGCCGTACCAGGGCATTTGGGGGCTAATATACTTATTAACTAGTGAGAGGTGTAACAATTATGGAATGAAGCCCTACATTGCTCGCTTTGTATACATGAGTTTGTATCAAATCTTATGAAAATAACATTAATATCAGATTTAGGATCTTATGAGTGGTAATTTGCACCTCTATTTGATTTTTATCTACCATTACTTTACAAATCAAATACTAGTTAACCGTCATTATTAAGCAAGAAATTGTTCGACTGGACTCTATGGATAGTTGAATACACAAATGATACATGTCTATTCAAACTCCAGAAAGAATTTATATATAAAAAGAGGAATTTTTATTAACGGTCTAGCTAACTATCATTCTCCTTTGAAATAAATCACAAAAATAATAGACGGAAATCTATATTTTTATTTATTATTATTATTTATTGTTACATCCCGAAGAGAATTATGAATGGTAACTTTCGAGATCCATTTATAGACCAATACTGTTTGTATGATTGTTAACTAACTAAACTATTCATATTCGCGTCCCTCTTATTATAAGCTCTATTTTGACCTAATTGTTATCATACGATTTGCCATTTTCCAGTCTATTAATTAGTGTTCCCCGCATTCACAGCGACTTTTGGCTGAATCTTGTACAAATGTTATTTTCTATTTCATGGTACGATGTGGTCTGTTTGATTGCTATATAAACTCAGTATATTTGAATTATAATGATTCATACCGCAATGGCTGAGATTCGTGTTCTGGACTTAACTGGCTGGGCTAGGCAGAAAGCAGGACCGACAAGTATTCTAGACTGCTCGTAAGGGTTCCACATATCATTGGTTCGATCGATAATTCACTGCCCTCTAATTGGTGGTATTATCACGTTATATCAACAGGGCATCCAGGCGGTCACAGGTTATAACATTTATTTATTTGAACATAAATATTGGTAGAAAGAGGAACCGAATACATATGAGACACAAGTCAAATGACTTGTGTGTGGGCTGTGATATTTGTCGGGTGCCCAGGCCAAAGCACGTATAATAATAATAATAATAATAATAATAATAATAATAATAATTATTATTATTATTATTATTATTATTATTATTATTATTATTATTATTAGCATCATTATCATAAGCTGGTAGAATATTTTTATGGTTAACACTAATTGAAAGATGACAACAACAACGTCTACGTATTTATCAAAATGAAATGTTAATAAATATATCTGATCTAGGTTGACATATTTTACTGGTGTGTATGATAATGTATATGTACAGAGAGCAGTGTAAATATAACGTGTTTTAAGCATTTTTGTAGTTATATATATATATATATATATATATATATATATATATATTCATCGTGACAACATAGTATAGCGTACTTTTTATTGTATGCATATACATCATCTGAAAACATTTATAGCTATACTCCGAAATATTATGAAGAACTACAAGAAACTATAAAGCAGAGAACAAATTCATTTTGTAGACTATTTCAACAACATTATACCTGATGAAAGTCAGAGAATGATCGATCCGTAGTGGGAAGGTGTTTATCCTCTACGGTGATATTTGCCATAATGACTGATATTAAAGTCTGAAAGTCAACTCTGACGAGCATGGACTCAACTCGGAGAATGATCAACATATAAAATGATATAAAACCGATTTTGATGAAATGAGATTTATCCTCATCAACTAACAGAAAAGTAATGTAACTTAGTAACAAAGTACAAGTCTCTTACACGCCATAATTTTCATGTAACACACTAGTGATGAAATCCGGTTTTCAAACCAAAGTATCCAAAATGGAGTTTGAAACTACGACCTAGTAATTATGGGAATTATTAACCCATACTACTTGCTTATTAAAGGCTAAGCAGACTGAGAAAAATTTGAATTTATATATAAATGAATCATTTAAATATAAAGGTTTATATAAAATATAAAAAAATACACTGCATACCTGCATATATTGGATATTGTCGATCTGTTAAGTTATCCCATAAGTAAGTTGGAGCTAAGACATACAAAGGACTAGCCCCGATCCCGGCTAGCAACATTGCAAGACAAAAAGTTGGAAAGAGAACAGACTGAACAATGTCACTACTTCCCATAAATCCTGTGCTTGATGATTCATTAATATCATAATTATTAAAAGTATCGGTAGCAGTAAGTGAGGCAGCACGAATAATTATGTCACCGACATTAGTTCCATTACTAAGTGAATTGGAAATAACATTCTGAGAAAAGGTATTGCGCGATTGATCGATACACAGTGGCCCATCCAACTGAATGGAACTTTCTAAATCTTGATTAAGAGGAAAATGAGAAGACGACAGAGAGGAATGAAGAAGAATATCTTCAGTACTGATACTAGTAGCAGTATTACCACCAGGAGTAGTTAGTAAGTTCGGTCTGTAGGGACCAGCTAAAAAGTGTGGTAATGCAAATAATCCAAATCCAAGAGCCAGGATCAATGTCGCCAAACCAATAACACGTAATCGATTATGTTTCTGGCCGCTAATAAAGCTAACAATCACTGTGGTTATGACACCGGCAACTTCATAACAACTAATCATAGAGCCAATTTGTCGGCTAGTTAAATTAAATCTTCTTTCCAATGTAGTAAACATACTACTCATCAAACCAGATACAACCATAGTTTGCATAAACATAGTTAAACATAATCCGATTAATACAACACGTGGACTAGCACAGGATTGTAGACAAGGGCATAAACAAGAAGTATCATCATCTTTTGCAGTTGTAGTTATTTCATGAGTTTCTGCATCACGCGCACATATAAACGAATTTTCTAATGTAATATCATTAGATGAACGTGGAGGTGTTAGACAAGGATAAGCTTCTGGTTTATTTTCAGGAATGAGCGAAGTGTCCGGAATTTTATGTTCACTTGACACCACTAGATTTTGTTCGGCAGAACCATCCCAATTATAAGATGGTCTTTCAGTTAACTGGTCAAGAATAAGAGGTTTTGTGACAGTACGGAAATCCCAACCAGATGTAGGATCGCTGATATTGCGAGCATGGCCTAAAATACGTTTAGAATAATATGGTGGAGGGGCTTGATAATCATTTGGATGATTGAAAACATTAGCATATGGAACTCGACCACTTGTAATCTGATTATCAGGATAACGGCCAAATCCGACCGTTGTGGCTGTAGATAGATTTCGGCGATGCTGACGTCTAAAATGATTCGGTTTATCAAAACCATACGTTGCACTAGATGAAGTTCGTCGAACTAGACCAGGATGCAAGCAAGTTGATATAAAATTCACTACATTTGTATCCCAATCAATTGGACATGAGGTATCACAAATTTCATCACCTACGGCATAACCAGAAGACGGTCCTGATGTTGCTCTTGATAAATGTGGAGTAGGCATGAGAATGAGTAGCTAATACATTGGAAAACAAGAAATTATATCCAACCAGACAGAAATAGAAAGAATAAATTATTCATTTTCTGAACAATGCAGATGTGTAAATAAAACCTGTTGAAACAAATAGAGATAGGATGTGAGTATGCAACTATTGTTTAAACCATAAAAAACAATACAGAAATTTATAAAATAAGATTCTATTTCTAAGCACTACGAATGGACGGTTATAAAAGCTGAATGTTTTGTCACTAAGTAGCTACGTATGGGTCTGTGTGTAATGTATTTAATTTATACATGGTGACTAGTGATATTACCGACTATTTATTTTATTTGAACACGTAAATATAGGTACAAGGAAACACAAAATATGTATGTGCCACACTGTCATTAGATTTGTGTGGGTGCCCAAACCACCTACTTGAATCGAAGTAGGTTTATAAAGCTTTGAGTTTGAAATTCAATGGCTGAAAGTTCAGAATAAAGAATGCAGTCTACATCAACGCACAAAGACCTGTAAGTAGTTTCTGAGTTATTGCGAATACCTTGAAAGTGTCCTTCTGAAAGGCTCAGCTTTCTTGTACACCAAAACCACTTCGCACAAATGAATACTGAGTATAAAAAGCTTGGCTTTTTGCAATAATAGAAGCTTTAGGTAAAATACATTTTTGACATTCTCCGAACTACGATCAATAAGTGTATAAACAGAGATTACAGACATATTAGTATGATTTTTCACTGAAATATAAATCTACATTTCTGGTTGCTCATTGTGCTTTTGTTACTTTTTCGTAGCTGTGCAACGGAATAACCGGCAAATTTATTGAGCAACTGTAATCAAATAGTTTATTCCGACTACATATGTCGAGAAAAAGGTGAATCCCAATAGTCAGTCTTGACTTATTTCAGAGGGAGAGACTCACAGAGCTGATATCTAATTTTATGTGATACACAATCCCAATCATCTTTTTATTAATATTCAGTGTGTAAACGTGTAACAGGATGAAGTCTAATTCGTTTGTGTTCGTTGTTTGAATTTTCCAAGTGATGTTTAGGACTGCAAGTGAACTCTGAGATGAAGGTACATCCAGGTGACGAGTTCCGAATAAGATGAAATGCGTGTACTGAAGTCCACTATCCATCACTACGTAAAAAATGCTTGTGGCAATTATGAGGAAATCCTCACAAGATGCATATACGCCAAGAAAATACTAAACTGCGGTCGTAAACATCTATGGGGAAATTTAAACCAATTCAAATAAACTACCTAGTCACCAATTTATTTAATTAAAACTGGACGGATTCAGACAGTCTAGAGAAACTAGCACCTACTCTAGAAGTCTACAAGTGCATTTTTTCGCAGTTGCTAACATGTTTTACACTTTATGCAGGATACCTAGCCAACTGAATATACTCACTCTAAACAATCAAAATTCATTGGATGAACAGTGACGACCTGTAAACTAGGGTTTATTTATCATCAGCAAGTTCTCGACAGAGAACAATATCTGTCACTGTACCGAGCTCAAAGAGAAATAAACGGATGTGCGAATCTACATTTTCACTAACTGGTGTCCCTGTTTTTTCCGTAAGAAAACTCCATCTATATACTCAATGGATTTGTTCCCGTTTCGTTATTTTTTGCCATTTTTCACAACTGATTTTGGTAAACTAATGAATCTCAAGCCTGATATAAAGGAACTAGCTGGCTAAATCTCTTGTAATGGAAGCTAAGACCAGGGACCATCTCTTCATTGTACGACAACGAGTAGCTTATACTAGCTGAATGTAGAAATTTCGACATACTGTCCACTGTACTTCAGTGAATTGACAGTTGAGATGTGATGGATACATTTGTTTGTTTTAGGCCGTGAAACGTGAGTTTACGCAATTCATATTTCTAACACCACAAAATCCTAGTGACTTGCCGGCACCGAACAGAATGATTGAAACAGATATACTAGACACAAAAGATGTTCAAAATAGTTCTTGTATCTTAGTTTACAGTTCAATTTCTTATTAGTATCTTAAATACATATGTCTTGGATTTAACAACTAGGAGCTACTTTTCCTATAAACTTGATCTGAACTGAAAATTCGGTGTGCCAACCAATTTTGGACGTTTGAACTTTTCGAACTCATCTTGTTACAAACTAACTATTTATTTTATAGCTTAAATATTTAGTTTTTCATGTCCTGACAATCATAAAACGTATGGTGTACTTGAAACCCACCCAAAACCCAAACTCGAATAATACCGAAACTATTGATTGATAGTGAGCGTCACTTGTATGTGACATATTTTCAAAACATCCCAGGTAGCTCAATTCCGCTTTGTGAAATACCATTACGAAACCTCTCCACTGTTTACTGACACTGCTTAACGATATTTCGACTTCGAAACCTTAGAAAATGGCAGAATTCGATCTACAAGGAGACTTGTAAACTAAATAGTGCAGGTTTGCATCACGAGTCATTGCCGTAGCATAATATTACCACTTTTCCATGTTAAATATACTATCTGCCTATATTTTGTTTTAGTTTAGTTTTGTATAGTTGGAGTAACAATTGATGGGGATAGAAACAGCTAGTAACAGGTGAAATAGTTGTGTTGAATTAGCAACAAGATTACACAGAACTTATAAGCTGAGACACAAAAGATCACTTTATCATGTCACACCTTGTAGTTCGAGATCATCAAAACCCAGGTAACTTACAAGGAAATCAAATCCTTGCGTCTGACCGAAATGTAACCAAAATAGCACGAATAAATAGCGGATTAATTGAACCCCTACACTGTTCGATGTCGTAGTATTATCAAGAGTACAATAGTAAAAAATACTCATGTATATTAAAAGCTTCAAGTGCCCATTGAACACCTCTTCCTTCTGTAGGAATGAACGAGGACAGAGGAATGAAAATTTTGGAACTACAGAAGAGAAGAATATACCAGTGACCTCATTTACCTTGTCGGGGCAGTAAAATGTCACTAAGCCCTAGCCAAATCATCCGGGAGTTAGGTCACTGAATATCGAAAAGATCATCGATCCATGTTAAAGTCAAAGGCAACAAAATGTGAATCAGTTGATTATACGTCATGGACTGGCTCATGCAGTGGTGGTCTCAATAAAATCTCTGTACTCATTCCTACTAATATATTTACGTAATCACGCTGTTTGTGCTATACAGTCATCAAAGCAGACATAGCACTTTAATACGTCGAATGAAGTAATCCACGTTAGATGCTGAACGCGAGGTGTGACTTCGAAGTTAGCTTGTTTGTTACACAGTTGGCTCAAGTAGGCCTCCAATCATTCGACATAGATCATCAACGTTGATGGTGTACAACCTATTTGATCGGATGGAGAACAGTTCGAGTTGGGCTTAATGCTCACCGGACGTTTGCTTCGCTTTGACAAGGGGGAAGAAAAATCTAAAGAGGGCAGTAGCGACTGCTTGAGAAATAACAAGGTATAATGAAGTTAATAATATCAAATCAACTGACCGAGAACATAAAAACAGTACTCACTGCTCAAGGGCAGATTAAAAGTGATAAAAAGTAATTTCTGTCAGGTTTTAAAAAAGCTGTGACTCTCAAACTGGTGAAATAGTTCTTCTTCTGTTCACTCTTAGTATTAAAAGCATATTTACCTATAGTTTCTTATGATTTTTTTCGGTTGAAGTTAGAACTTTAGGAATTATTTTACTTTGCTCTTTGGACGTGCTTAGATTTTCGATTGGTTTTTTCTGTCATTGTGCTGAACTTCACGCAGTTTGTATTAACTGGCCATAAGTTCTTTCATAGGATGGACATTTTTGCCAAATTCCCGATGTTGGTTTTTGTAGCAGTAAATAAATCCCCAAAATCAATAGCTCTGTAAGTTTTCGACATTGGATGCTGATGACATTAGTTTTAATGGACTCACCTAGCTGAAGGCACTCGGTCACGCATCGCACCAGATCACTAGTGGGAACGCCGTGCTCAGCTTTTCCTGCAACCTCTAACCAATTAAGACCAGTCACTTCGATGTACTGATTAGCTATCAAAGAGGAGCTCGCTACATTTGCCAACCGTATTTTAGAGATCATCAAATCTTCTAACGCCGAGGTTTTATCAGTCAAAGATAAACCCCAACCGATACAAAACAATGTTGCGGAGCTCTGTCATACGCCGACCTCCGTATTCGTCATGAACGTAAGCGATCACAAACTCCTCGAAGGGGTTATTCACGAAAACGATCTGTCTCTAAACCATGGGGGACAGATAACCCTGACTGGTGCTGGTATCATAACCAGTTTAGAAAATCTGCTGGAAATTTCAGAATACCCTGCAATTATCGGAATTTCAAACCGACCGACATGAAAAACGCTTCGGGAAACTTCCCAACCGGAGCGCGTTGATGGCAACCATGGCCGGCGAACATAGCCGTCTGTTATACTTCACTGACGTGATGAGGAAAGTTCGCCACCTCGTCGACAGTAAAGCAGAAGTTAGCGTTCTTCCAGCGAATTCGAACGACCGACTGCACGAACTGGTTTTAAACTTACAGGGGGTAAACGGAAAACCTGTAACCTCATATAGTAAACGGCACGTCTATCTTAACGTGGGTTTACGCAAACCCATCCACTGAATTTTCGTTGTCGCAGATGTTTCAATGTTAGTCATTGGTATAAGCCTGCTACGACATCATAATTTAATCATGGACACGCACAAATGAAGGTTAGTAGACGGAAACACTAATTTATCTGTTTGTGTAACTTCGCTTTCCGACTGTAGATTATCCTCAGTCACAGTAAGACACATACTTCCAAAAAATACTCGATAAGTGCCCTGAGATATACCAAACCCGACGGAAATTGTCATGTGTAACTAGCAATGTTACATATCGTATCACGACTACATGACCACCTGTATTCTCGAAAGCGCTACAACTAGTTCCCAAAAAGCTGAGGTTGGTTAAAAACGATTTCGATCACATGATAGATTTATAAAGAACAGCAACGACTGGCGTCCAACTGGTGACTATCAGCTAATGAGTGCGAAAACCATTCCTGATCGTTACCCATCGCCTCATGTCCACGATTTGACAGCTGCCTTGAAAGGTTCAACTGTTTCATCGAAAATCTCCTTGGCTAGAGCATAAACACCAAATTCCCATGGCTGATGACGACATTCCTAAAGTCGCTATTATCACTCCTTTCAGTCTCCACTGGTTTTTGCACATGCCTTTCGGCTTAAGAAATGCTACTCAAACCTTCCAAAGGTTTATCGATGACGTCTTTTGAGGCCTCAACTTCGTAGATGAGTATGTTTGTGACTGCTTGATAGCATGTCTGGACAGAGAATCTCATTTTCAGCATGTGAACCTTGTCTTCGAACTACTACAAAAGCATGGCATTACTGTGAACATTTGGATATGCCAAACTGGAACCGACTCCTTAGACTGCCTAGGACACACTATTGATGCTCAAGGCATCCGACCTCTTAGAAGCAAAGTGGAAGCAATTCTGGATTACCCAGAACCGACCATGAGCAAGCAATTGCGCATGTTTAACGAACTAGTAAGTTCCTATAGACGGTCCATACCAAACTCTGTGTCCCTTATGGAGCCTCTAATCGACCAACTTCGTGGAAATGAGAAATCCATCAATTTGGACGACACCGCGAGAAAAGCATTCTCCTCGATTAAGGAACTTATAGGAAAAGCAATCATGCTTGCACACCAGGACACCCAAGCAGCCATTAGTATCGCAGTAGACGCATCCATCTCGACAATCGGAGGAATCTCACAACAATGGGTTAATCACACCTGGGAACTTTTGGCATTCTACTGAAGATGGTTGATAGGCACCGAATCGAGGTATAGCACTTTCGGTAGGGAACTCCTAGCTAAGCATTATGCCCTACAGCATTTTCAACTTCCTACTGAAGGCCTAGAATTCACTCTTTTCATGGATCATAAACCTTTTGCTTTTCCTATAAGCTCGTCCCCAGACACGTACTCTCCTCGATAGTCTCAACAACTTTGGGAATGGTAGTTAAAATCCAACTGAGAAGTCTCTGACGGAGGGCGTAAAAAACTGAGTCCTTCAAGTAGGCGAAACACATATAGGTAAGGTTGATTGTGAGAACTTTGATAGAGCTCTCAAAGACTCGAACTATTACAGTATAAAAGTCTTAAATAAACGGTAACGGAAGTTAATGCGGGAAAGTATAAAAAAGACTTTCGATTGATCAGTTTGCTTTGGATTACACTGTAGAGAAAGCAGCTGAATCCTGATACTGGGTTTCAATGAGCTTGGTATAAATTGCATTGACCTGTCCACCGTTTTGATTTAAATCAAATATCTATGTTAGGTACATTAACGATCTATAGATCCAAGGATAAATGTTCTTAAAGAGAGTAAAACTAAAGGTTGGTGCAGGATAGTATGGATTCATTTTATTTCGCTAGGTTATCATCAATGGCTTTAAAATCAAAACTATTACAGATATGGACTTACGAAGGTGATTAGAGATGCATATATGCATCACGATGTATAGAAGATTCTGATAGGGTTAATAATAATAATTTATTTTCAAATAACAGTCTCTTACGTGGAGCATGCCAGCTTACAGGCAAGATAAAATTGACACAGAAGATACAATCTTTACTGTAGTGTGTTACTCAGTTTGGTTAATATTTTATAAGGTACATTGGTCATAGAATTATGGGGAATAACAATATGTCAATATGAGAGTTGATGCGCTTTATAGAGGTTGCTTAGCGACGTGCAACTTATTATTGAGAATAAATCCACGTAAAGTCGACAGCTTCTAGAAACCGCAACCCTACATTCTTCTGGAACGTCTCAAGCATTAATGATGGCACAGGACGAAGTCACTCGTTCCATACGTGTTTTCGGTAAACTTAAAAGAAGGCTAAGACAATGAAAGGACGAGAAGCAGAGCAGACGATGTTTACGACTATTGAAGCTGGGTCATTCGTGTCGGAATAGTTAAGGCATGACAAGTTAGTCTAATTCTCTTTCATTAAGGTACTTTGAAAGCATGAATAATCTGATTGGTTAAAGAAAACTAGCGTAAATGTGGTACGAATGGACCAAGAACTGTGTAAACGGAGGTGGTTCAGAAAGAAGCTAAAAGTATAGGATTGTGTGTAGGCTTAAAATATAAAGCTGAAAACGGTATTCTGATACACAAGTGTGTACCTCCTTATTTGCCGAAGATATTTCAGCTCATGTTTCCTTTTTAAGATTTTATAGGTTCATGAGTAGGTTTCGCTTCTAGCGAATCGTCTACTTTATTTGTAAAGGGATTACTCGATAGGGTTGATAAAATAACAAAAATCTTTTTTCCAGATCAATAAATAAAGTTTGGGAGGGAAGGTTCCAGAACACTTAACTAGTGATTAGAACTCATAGAGTTTACAGACACTAGATGTTTATGTAATGAAGTAACTGGAAATAAAGTAATGGTAATAAGGAAGGGTATGAATTGATATCAATGAATTATGAACTGAAGAAAAATGACAGTGTTGTAATCAAACTTCAGAAAGAGTTGGAATTATGATGTAATATAAAAAGGAGTGAGATGTCATCAGGGCAAACATTGATTTATTACTGCCTTCTTTTTGGAAGCATTGATCTCGTTTTAGACATGTGATCGCTATCGCTTCGCTTTATGGTACGAATCAACCATCCGACTATAGGACATGGAAGGGGAAAATCCCCTTTCAAACAAATAAAGAGTGAAGTACCATTG